CTCTCTCTCTCTCTCTCTCTCTCTCTCTCTCTCTCTCTCTCTCTCTCTGAAAATCTCTAGAAAGAAAACGACCGGCGTGTCTCTCGTGATTTGCTCGACTTTAGCTTCGACCGGTCCTGTTCTCGCACGTGGAGAGTTTATTATTTGCTCAATTTTTATCGTTATTCTCATGTGTAAGACGAGAGAAATCTCTCGAAAGCGGTACGTCGCTACTAAACGTTGATGCTTGTTCGCAACGAATACTCATGAATGTTTAATCGATCATAGTTTTTGCCTATGACACGTACACGTACGCACGCGCGCACACAAACACACAAACACACACATACACACACATATACACGACGTACGCACGCATGCACGCACGCACGCACGCACGCATTCACGAACGCACGCACACACACAACGTACACGTGAGCTGTTTGAATTGAATTACGTAACGATATAGGCGAGATTCCCCGGCGAACCCTGTTAATTCGACAGCTCGAGTTACGCAGTATTGCGAGGCGAATGGTTCACTGCAAACGAAGTACTGGTTTAACGAAGTACTTGAGAAAATAAGAGAAATTTTATATACATATAAAATATATATATATATATATATATAAATATATATATGCAAACGTTAATATTTTTGTATGAGCATAAGATACGTAGATGTGTGAGTACTGAACCTTGAAGAGCGAGTGTAGATAAAGAACGGAAGATGATGTACGATGAAAGTTGAAGCGAAATTCCCGGAATCCATCCGTCCGCAATAATTATAGGTCAGTACTGGACTATACTGTGCTGCTATTAGTCATGTTTAAATTAAATTATAGTACCGAGATATATCGATGGAAAATTATGTGAAAAGAAGAACACAGAGAGAATGTGGGTGAGAGGGAGCGAGCGAGAGAGAAAGAGAAAGAGAGAGAGAGAGAGAGAGGGAGAGAGAAAAGAGAAAGAGCGAATGTGTATATGCAAGTGCATGCTTTGGGATCAACGGCAAGACGCTTGCAAGTCCTTTTTTTTATTGTCTCATCTTGTTATCACAAGAACTACTTTGCTGTGAACGTACTTTGGGTTAACGCTTCCGTTTCGGCCTATAGATTGTAGCTTAACAAATTATCACTTACAAAATAAAAGATAGAAGTAAATGAATAAAGCGAAAGAAAAGAAAGCACAGAAGGTTGCTCGTTTGTAAGACATTACACAGGGTGCTCGTTTGTAAGGAAAAATATTACGATTTTGCTTTATATAATATTTATTGTTACGAGATGTTCTCTCGAGTACAAGACTTAGTGATATAACGATATATACATATATATATGTGTGTATGTATATATATATATATGTGTATATATATATATATATATATATGTGTATATATATATATATATATATATATATATATATATATATACATATATACACATATATATATGATATATGATATATGATATAGTTAGGATAGAATGACGAATCTTCTATCTACCACGAGTTTGACGGTCGTTGTAGATCGAAAGTTCGATACCATCTTGTAGATAACGACGTGGTCGTCGTCGCGATCGCCAAATAGGTAGTTCGCGGGTGGGAGGTGACGGGTCTATCCTCTAATTAGCTTGACTTGTGATCTGCGGAGATATTCGCCGTCCTGTGTTGTGAGAAATATTGCAGGATAGCCTCCTCTCTCGCAGAGCGCGCGCTGCTTGCCGATATGCCGGAGTTTACGTCTTGCCGTTAAAGCCCATACGTCAAACGGAGAAAAAAGTACACACACAGGAAAGACACGCTTGGAGTCGCATATAATCTTTTCCTTTTTAATTGCGAGGTTGTACCACAGTCAAATAAGTGGAGGAAGCTCAGTGAAAGCGCGACGCATTGAGGGTACGAAGCTCCCCCCTCGAGCATTCTGCGTGAATGGCTCAAAGATCGATATTATTCGTATATCACGATCGATATTATGACGCTCGACATTGTTCGTTCAATTGTTATCACCACGTCGACTTTTTTTTCACGACGCACAAAGCGGTATTCCCGAGCGCGTGCATTCCCGTAGCGCGGATCTTGAACACGGATCTGGCTCCTCGACTCTCACCGGAGGGCTGACGTGGAAAATTCGAAATTTCGTGGTTAATATTGTGGACAGTTTGGTACCCTTGATGCCGATTTATTTGATATTACTCCTCGTTGTAAGCTGCCGAAACGTATCCACGAATGGTTTTAAACATAACGTAATTAATATGCCTAAGCCAGGGGAGAGATCGAGACAATAAATGTAATTCTGTTACACTGAGACTATTGCGTTTTTCTTTTTTATATTTGCGTTCATTCCGAGGGGTGCTGGCTACTATCGTATTTATATATAACTATCTGTCTCTCCGTGCATTTGCACTTGTGCTAATCACGCGCACACACACACACATACACACACACATACACACACACACACACAACGCATACAAACACGCGTACCATTTGTGTTTCACTATTGTCGCTTTGTTCCATAAGACGATAAAACGGTCAATGTTGTTTTTCTTTTTCCTTTTCACTTGACTAAAACAAGAAAAAAAAAAGACGAGACTTTACTAAACCGATCGTTGCACCACTATCGCTGGCTGTGGAACACATTGTTGTCATGATCGATGTTGCACACTTTCATTAAACGTCGCCCGAGCATTTTTCTCTGCAGTTCGAGAGTAACGTAAGACTGTCGTAGGACCGTCGCGTAGAACAGAACGATAGCTGTATATAGTACTAGCCTGTACTGACCTGTAGCACATGGATGCGTCGTCGGCGCAAAGCGATTGATGGATTGCGAGATTGTATCTTGAGTCAGAAAGTAAAGAAAATTTCACGAGGGCACGAAAGAGTCCCTCCAGTTAAGAGGGAAAAAAACGCACACAAATGTGAAGAACAACACGTCGAATTTTTCTATAATACTGTTTTTTCTCACTATAATATATCATATCACCGATTGTTTAGTCGATGAGGCGTGCGTGCGTGGGGGGCAGGCAGTGATCGAATGGATTTTCTGTCTTTTTTTTGTTATGCCATCATTATTATCGTTGTTATTGTTGTTCGATTTATTTTTGGCTCAACACGGGCTTCACTATATCTTATGTAACGTCCATGTGTTGTGGGTCAGAGCATCCTTAAAACAGTACCGACCGACTTTCCTTTCTATCCTCGTTTCCCGTTTGCACGAAACCGCGAAATCTAGCGATTTCGTTTCTCTCTCTCTCTCTTTATCTCTCTCTCTCTCTCTCTCTTTCTTTCTCTCTCTCTTTTGTTCGCTCTCGCTTTCGCTCTGGCTCTCACTCTCGCTCTCCCTCCTTTTCCCCCCTTTTTCTCTCTCTTTTTCTATCTCTTTCTCTTCTCCCTTCCGTCCTTTCCCTCAAGTCTTTTTTATTTCACGAGCCGGGGCCCTTCACGACGCACCGCCATCACGCCGCGCAATTAACGTCGCGTAATTACTGGCCAGCGTTCTCGCGCGTGGCTGAGAAGACGGGATCGTTTCGCGGGACTTCTCGGTTTCGCGCGTCCGTTTTTCTTGCGACCTTAGTAAACGTCGGACAGAATGTGTGACGCTTCTTCGTCGCGGACACCTAGTAAGACATTGAAACGGATACGCGCTCCTTTTTGTTTTCTCAGCCTGTTCGCGTGCGCTAGCCGCATCCGGGAATCTCTTACTAGGTGCCGCGCGACACGCCTTGTCGAAATTGCGCCGGACGAAATGTTACCGAGATAGTCCTTCGAACTCGCTGGTGAAAGACGCTGCGCGAAACTTGGGCAAGGCTGGTAGGCTCGCCTGACCGTTTACGTGTAACCGGCCTGGTGTTGGTTGGTTCGCAGGATCAGACTGAGTCGGCGGCCATTCTGAAGATCAAGGAGAGCATGCAGGAAGAGGCGAAGAGGTTTGAAAAGGACTCAGATCACCCTGATTATTTCATACAATAACTCTTCACGAGTCGTTGGACCCCCGAGACCAAATTAACAGTTTAATAGATAATGAATCGATTTCCTTTCTTCCTTAATCTGATAACTATCCCTTTATACACATATACACAAACACACACACACATACGCGCGCGCGCGCCCATATCCCAGTCTCGCGCCGTAGAACCATTTTTCCTACTCTCTCTTCGTTCTCTTCTCTCTCTCTCTCTCTCTCTCTCTCTCTCTCTCTCTCTCTCTCTCTTTTTCTCTTTTTATCTCTTTTGGTCGCATCTCTCTCGGTCTTGCCGTAACACTTTTTCTCTCCGTGTTACATCTTCCTCTCCTCCCCGTCCCTCTCTCCGAGCACGGCGTTGATCGATGAGGAAAGGCGACCCTCCCGCGGATGGGCGACCCGTCCCTCATGTCGCGCGCTACAACGGCGAGGAGGACCGTGATGTCAGTACGTGACGGACAGAGAGAGAACATCGATCCTGCGCGACTATCACGCCGACCGACATTTTCGCACAGTGTAATGTTGTCATGTGGACGTCGTTCGTTCGAGCATGAAGACATTTTGTCCGCCTGTTAACGCAAGGAACGCGGCATTACCGTTCTCCACTCGAAGACAGACCGAATGAACGAACGAACGAACGACGTTTTCGATCGCGATTCTTGTCCACTTTGCGCGACTATTACCACTGTGATGTGTGTCTCTCGTCGGGAATATATCGAACCTTGTACACCCGAGAACATTGGCGTTATCCGAATGGATTAATCGAGGCTTATGATTTTAAATGGAGAGAGAGCGAGAGCTCTGTCTTGAAAAAAAGTCAAGGTAAGCTCGCTTAAAGGAGGAAAACATTATAGACGGTCATTTTTATGAATTTTCTTAAAGAAAATGACAAGCGTTACTAATACAAAATTTGTTTTAATAAATTGTTTAAAACAAATTGTTCTATTAATAACGCTTAATTTTCTTTAAAATTTTCTTTAATAAAATTCGTAAAAAACTCTCATTGTCCACCATCTATTGTGTTCTTTATCATTTTCATTTGAGCCGCGAAGTTCGTTCGTTGCTCGTCGCGACCAGGTAGGAGGGTTCTCCTCGAACTATGTCTCATTTTACGGAGAACCCGTCGACAGCGCGCGACGTAGACCAGGCGTGGAGGATCGCTCGTATCGCGAAGGGGTTGCCGGATATCGTCGTTAAACTTAACTCCGACGCAAAGACGGCGATCGAACGCGACGTGGACGACGAGAGGTTGCCGCTGATCGAAAGAGAAAGAATGGGAAGAGAACACTTGGCTGCGCGAATATGTGTAAAGAGTATTACGACCACGATTATGATTAGACGGAAGCTACACGCACGTCATCCGGACGCTGGAGACTTTTAGTATTCAATCACGATAGAGGACCAAATTCGTTTCTACCGTACGATATATACATACATATACATATATACACACATATATATATATATATATATATATATACATACATGTAACACACACACGTACATGCATACGACACGCATACGCAGGGTATCCCAGACTTCCACAATTGTTGTGGGAACATAGAACGGGTTGAGTTGAACATAAAAGTCATATATCGTTTTGCGATAATCGTAGCAACAACCGAGGAATTAATTGTGTAAGATCAAGGGAAAGCGTGCGCTGAATGATAGAGAGAGGAGCGATCAAGCCGTAGCGCAATAATATAACGCATAGATGCCGACGCGTGGCGAGTGGAAGAACAACGCGCCGCTGGAATATTGAACTGGAAAGCTAAATTTTTCACCTGAACATTTCGTCCGACCGATCTTTTCGCGTCATATCGTGCTTCCTTAAGGGGAATCGATGACAAACTCCAAAAATGTCCATAACGTAAAAACAGCCACCCTCATCCCCATCATCCTTCACCGCGGAACTCTTGACTACTGACGTCAGAAGCTAGGAAATGTATGTCCAAAATTCCTGCAAAATATGTCACAAACAAAGATATATCTAAACAAATGACACAGTCGATTAAGCATACCGTTAAAATACTCCGAACACTTTTCTCTTGCTTCAAGAATCAATAGATAACCGTAAAATTAACGTAACATATCGCTTATATCGTTGCGCTTATATCGCTGCGCTCTTACGTCTTATAATGCAAAATGATATAGAATTTTTATGTTCACCTCAGTCCGTTCTACGTTCCCATAAAAATTGCGGAGCAGAGCCTGGGACACCTTATATATGTATATAATATATATATATATATTTTTTTTTTTTTCTATCGGCATACGATCGTCTCGTCACGGATTTCCGGAAGCTTTGCAAAGGGAGAAAGAAGCGTGTGTCTCTATTTGTCCGTAATAACCGGTTACAAAGCACTTGCGCGCTGCGGAATTTCGCGATTGGCGACTTAGATCTTTTCTTTCTTTTTTTTTGTATCACAGTCACACGCACGGATGACGTTTGATTTACAATCGCAATTGTATACGTTAGACTTCCTCCGCGAGAAATGTAGCTCCAGTTGCGGACGCTTCCGTGCGCGGGAGCATGCACGATTGGAAAAAACGGTCGAACCGCCGCCGCCGCGTTTGATCGAACCTTCGGTATATACCTTCGGCGATATATACGTATAGTTTAATCGTAATTTAGTACATTTAACAGAGAATAATCTCGAGAAATATACACACACGTACGCACGCACGCACGCACGAAGTGCGTCCCAAGACTCTCCTTTGCAATTTTTATAAGAACGTAGAACGGACTGAGGTGAATATCTCAAGATTTATTATGAATATCGTAAACGTATGGAATTTTTATATTCATCTCAATTCGTTCTATATTCCTACAAAAATTGCAGAGGAGAGTCTGGGACACTCTGTGCGTGTGTGCATATACATATATATATATATATATATATATATATATGTGTGTGTATATATGTGTGTGTGTATATATGTATACACATATATAAAGCTAGATTATATAAAGGATAAGAGTTATTGTATTATTACAACGGGCAATTATGATAATTAGGATTGTAAGGAGAGGAAAACGTATTGTGATATCTTTTTATATTGTACATTGTAGCGTTGCAGTTTTAATTGACTAACTTATTTCGACTTCTAATTACGATTGGACATCGTTTGTTCGAACATTGAACGCGCGGACGCACAGATATGTTAGCGGAGCTTTTTGTATTATATTTGTCGGTCGAATTGAACGAGAGATGTTACTTCCGCTCTCGCACAGGCGACAATTCGATTCCATTGTACAGCGTGCGGGCGTACAATACTTTTACGAAAGCGAGTGATTCTCTTGCAGAAAATGTTCGTTCATAAAGCAGAATTGTGCGTATTCCGGTCTTAAGTTTTGGAATACCTTTTATAAAACGATATTAGTGCGCAGGAATAAAAAAGAAAAGAGAGAGAGAACTTTTCTCTACAACGATCACTATTATCTTACAAGATACGTTCTTATCTTCGGTATCTTGCCAGGTAAGTTACCGACTGTAATTTAGTGTACTTGTATACTAGCGCATACTTGTACGACGGATGCTGGCAAGACGATTACACGCCCGAGTTTTTACACGCTTCGATGCTTTGTAACCGGTCGTGCTGACGATTGCTGGACCGCCGTTTTTAGCAATACAATAGTCAACGGTTGGGTCGAGTGCAACATTAGTAGACAATTTCGACTGTCGTATACGAGATCGCTGTCGGATTTTATACGCGATGTGTTTCTCCTCCCTCCCCCCTCCTCCCTTTCAAACCAGCACTCCTCCCGACAAGCACCTTCGTTTCACTCTCCACGATCTCCTGTCGCACGATCCAGTGGATGATTTTGTACGGGTGACAATTAGCATGTAAGCATTAACTAAGATTGTTCGACTACTATCTGTAGAAAAAGGATAGAGACATGAAATAGCGACATGGAATACGAAAACTGTATAAAACAGTCCGATCGATATTGCGAAGTTTAAGGTTCCTCCTGGTCTCTCAACGCTTGATTGTTGACTTCAGAATATAAAGTACGTCGAGATAAAAAGATATAAAAATATGACAATCGGTTGAGCACACTTCCAAGATACTTCAAGCACCTTCCTTTTACTATAACAATCCATAAATAACCGTAAAATTAACATGACAAAATAAATGCATGTCACGTTAATTTTACGGTTATCTATTGATTATTGGAGCAAGAGAAGTGTTCGGAGTATTTTAATGGTATGCTTAATCGACTTAATCGACTGTCATTTGTTTAGGTATATCTTTCTTTGTGACATATTTTGCAGGAATTTTGGATATATATTTCCTCGTTTCTGACGTCAGTAGTCAAGAGTTCTGCGGTGAGAGATGATGAGGATGAGGGGAACTGTTTTTACGTTATCGACATTTTTGGAGTTTGTCATCGATTCTTCTTAAGGAAGCACGATATGACGCGAAAAGATCGGTCGGACGAAATGTTCAAGTGAAGAATTTAGCTTTCCAGTTCTCGACATTCTCGTTGTCATCCTGTACGATATCGCGCAGTGATTTGGATAGCGAACATGCAATTTTACTTTTTTTAAGAGTGAAAAAGTGAAAAGTGAAGAGCTTTACGTGACCTCGATAATCTTAGCTCATGTATCTTTTCGAACAGTAGAAATGTAAAACTTTTCATTTTTCACGAGTTTACATTAAAGGAAAAGATGCATAGTCGATATCCTGAAATTACTATATTGTATAAGTCCGTCGAGTTTCACTGATGTAACATTAATCATGAATTATATATGTATATAATGTTTGTCAAGAGAGACTCTTATCGTGTCCCAAGAGCATCGTTCTCTTCGCGAGATCGACGCAGCATAGACACTATCTCTCGAGAATCGCATTAACGCGCGACTAATTACCTTTTAAGAGGAGATAAGAGAAACACGAAAGATGGCAATCTCAATCGCCTTGCTCTTTCTCTCTCTCCCCTCCTTCTCCCTTTCCCTTCCTTCCACTCTTTTCTCCACTCTTAGATATCAAACGACACTTTCAACATGCGATATCCTGTAAAATCCAAGAGGTGTCCCGCGACGACGCGTCCTCCGGATATTTATTGAATCTGTCCTTAGACATACCTTTCATGCTCCTTCCTTTTCCGCCTTTTCTTTGGAGTGTGTGACGGTAGTTTCACTCGAAATGCGGGAAGCGTCTAAAAGCGAGAAGAGAAACACGTTTAACGAGGAACAAAGTTCGAACGATCGAGTGCGATGTGTCGCGACAGAAGGATGTCGATGATGACTCGAGGTGTATGTCGACGATTCGATCTTCGAGTTTTTTTTTTTATCCTATCGAGCAGGTAGGATGCAAATTGGAATACCGTCATTTTTCTCGATTAGACCTTATGTTACATACGTCCTTGTATATGTATATCGCTAAGTTCTTAAATGTATGTATTCGGACTTAATCATTATGTCGTCTTTCTTACCCTTCATTTAAGAGTATAGTATATATATGTGTGTGTGTATGTGTGTGCTGCGTGCGTGTGTGTATGTTTAGTGAGAGGGAGAGAGAGAGAGAGATTCGTGTGGAGATTCGAATGAGTGAAGAAAGAGAAACACCCTCATCGCAAGAACGCGCGCTCGAAACCCTTTCACTAATTTACAACTGAAGAGATTTAGCAGCGAACTTCGCCCTTGGAGTCAGAGCTGCGCAACGTTCTCCAGCGTTCAACAGCGAAGCGGAAAACCGCTGGTGAAAGGATCGAAAACGGTATTTGAGATAATGGTTAAGGCTCCTTGTATCTCGCTGCGACTGTATTGGATTTGTGACGTCAGAAGTGAGGAATGACACGAAAGTTGCGTGCTATTTCTACATAAAGATAAAACGGAAAAAGTATATACTTAGAGATCACTTTGAAAGAGTTTGTGAAATTTTCCAAAAGCTATTCCTTTCCTCTGACAATCATTAAATAGTCGTATAATACATAATAAAATAAAGCGTGCAGACAAAATAGATTTATTTCACCATTTATTATACGACTATTATACGACATCAAGGGAAAGAGATATCTGTCGGACAATTTTTACAAGTGTGCTCAAGCAATCTCAAACGCTCTTTCGTTCATATTTATCTTTATTCAGAAATGGCATGTAACTTTCGTCGGTATGTCATTCTTCGCTTCTGATGTCAAATCCGATGTAGACGGCGAGGAGCCTTAAGTCCCGTTGACGAATCTACGTGTCTGCGCGTTATGATCGAAAGGGAGCGAATCCCGATTCAAAAAATCGCGTGCGTGCGTGCATGCATGCGTGTGTGTGTGTGCATACGTGATTGACGATTCGCTTCAACAACACGCACCTCGTATTCGGAGCAACGTCTTATCCCCTTTATGCTCTCTCTTTTTCCCTTGTAATTAATTTATATACGCACATACTCTCCTTCTCCTCCCACATACACACAAACTTTCTCTCTCTCGTCCCTCCCTCCCTTCCGCTTCCCCTCTTTCTCATTGTAACATTGTTCACGACTATAAAACTCGTGACTGACCTCACGCAATCTTCGGATTCGTGCATGATTATCGACATAATCAGATACCTATTACGAGTATAGCATTCAGTAGCACATAAATAATGTCGATAAAGTAATTAAATAAATGTCACTTAATCTATACCGAATCTTGTGTTATGCGTTTTCGACGTCATGTAAAAATAATTTTTATCGAAATTATATAGGTAATCTATATTTCAGATCCCTTGTAAGTGCAAAAATATGAAGGTACTAAGTTTCTTACTCATACGTTGTTATTATCACGTTTTATCTTATTATTATTATTTATCTTATTATATTAAGTCTTATGTTATTATTTTCTTATTGTACATAATGTTAAAAAAACACGCGTACAATTATTATAGGTGTCCGCTATGTGTGTCATTGACACGTGCCGTCCCAAGCTTCAAAAATGCATTTCTTCTCGGCTGATATTGCGCGAAAGGAGAGATAGGTAAGAAAGACGCATTGTGTTTGTGTGAGAGCGATAAGATCGTCTCTGACTTGTACCTACTATCAGTTCGTTGATGGTGAGACAAGGTCAAAAAGAAATTCGCTGTCTATCTTTGTTTAACTCGTACCACTCGTAGCACGGAACAGAACCTGATAACATTTACCACGCAGTGAGTGTACTGGACAAGGTTCTGATTTTCACCACTGGCTCTCAACTATGGCTCTGGATTCTCGGCGGATGGGACCCGATTGACCACGATGGGTGCTTTCCAATTGCTTAACACATCTTGACATACACGTACACAGAACTAGTTTATTGGTCACATATTATCTAAAATATCTTGTAAGATAATATACAACCAATAAACTGATTTTGTGTAACAGTGTACGCAACTGGAAAGCACCCGATACGATTGGACACAGATTGTAATGATTGTAATGATTTCGATCTGATAATTCACTAGATAATTCTTTGCATCAGTTGGTTGTGTCCAATCGTACCGTGGTTAATCGGGACGCTCCCGTTCTCGGAAGCTTAAGGCCAACGTTTTAGGCCGACGTCTCATGGAGCGGAAATTTTCCGCGCAACGAAACACGCGGAACCGACAAATCACAGTTCCGCTCTTTTTTGTTCCGCTATAATCTTACCGCTGCAATTTTGCGGAAAGAATAAAAATAGTCGCGGATAACCTCAACATATCTTATATATCTCGTTTCCTTCTTATACATTTATTATATATATATTTTTTCAACATTCTTTATTATTTCGTTTAGAAATGATGAATGGAAGGATCGTAAGTAATAAGATTGACTCTTGAATAAATGGAAGGATCGTAAGTAATAAGATTGACTCTTGAATAAATTAACATATATTATATCATTGGTATAAAATATTATTAAAATTATTAAAAACGTAAGAAATAACATTAAAAAGTCTACTGTTTGTATTAAGCACCGTGTGCCGCTAGCTTAAGTAATGTCTTAAGATGCGGATACGGCTCTGTGATTGGTTCATGACATCTTAAGACAGTAGTTAA